CATCATTGGTAACACTAATTATATACCAATGTCCACCATTGGTAACATTAATTATATACCTGTGTCATCATTGGTAACATTAATTATATACATGTGTCCACCACTGGTAACATTAATTATAGACCAGTGTCCACCATTGGTAACATTAATTAAATACCAGTGTCCATCATTGGTAACATTAATTAGAGACCAGTGTCCTTCATTGGTAACATTAGTTATAGACCAGTGTCCACTATTAGTAACATTAATAATAGACAAGTGTCCACCATTGGTAACATTAATTATATACCAGTGTCCATCATTGGTAACATTAATTACAGACCAGTGTCCTTCATTGGTAACATTAATTATAGACCAGTGTCCACCATTAGTAACATTAATTATATACTAGTGTCCACCATCGGTAACATTAATTATATACCTGTGTCAACAATTAGTAACATTAATTATATACCTGTGTCCACCATCGGTAACATTATTTATATACCAGTGTCCACCATTAGTAACATTATTTATATACCAGTGTCCATCATTGGTAACATTAATTATAGACCAGTGTCAACCATTAGTAACATTAATTACATACCAGTGTCCATCATTAGTAACATTAATTATATACCAGTGTCCATCATTGGTAACATTAATTAGAGACCAGTGTCCATCATTGGTAACATTAATTATAGACCAGTGTCCACCATTAGTAACATTAATTATATACCTGTGTCCACCATTAATAACATTAATTATATACCAGTGTCCACCATCGGTAACATTATTTATATACCAGTTTCCACAATTAGTAACATTATCTATTGATCTGTGTCCACCACTGGTAACATTAATTATATACCTGTGTCATCATTGGTAACATTAATTATATACCAGTGTCCACCATTAGTAACATTAATTATATACCTGTGTTCACCATTGGTAACATTAATTATATACCTGTGTCAACCATCAGTAACATTAATTATGCACCTGTGTCCAGGATAAGTAACATAAATTATATACCTGTGCCAACCATCAGTAACATTAATTATACACCTGTGTCCACCATCGGTAACATTAATTATATACCTGTGTCAACCATTAGTAACATTAATTATATACCTCTGCCAGGATTAGTAACATAATTATATACCAGTGTCCACCACTGGTAACATTAATTATATACCTGTGTCATCATTAGTAACATTGATCAGATACCAGTGTCCACCATTGGTAACATTAATTATATACATGTGTTCAGGATTAGTAACATTAATTATACACCAGTGTCCACGATTGGTAACATTAATTATATACCAGTGTCCACCACTGGTAACATTAATTATAGACCAGTGTCCATCACCGGTAACATTATTTATATACCAGTGTCTACCATCGGAAACATTATTTATATACCAGTGTTCACCATTAGAAACATTATTTATGTCCACCACTGGTAACCTTAATTATAGACCAGTGTCCACCACTGGTAACATTAATTATATACCAGTGTCCACCATTGGCAACATTAATTATATACCGGTGTCAAAAATTAGTAACATTAATTATATACCAGTGTCCACCGTTGGTAACATTAATTATAAACCAGTGTCCATCATTGGTAACACTAATTATATACCAATGTCCACCATTGGTAACATTAATTATATACCTGTGTCATCATTGGTAACATTAATTATATACATGTGTCCACCACTGGTAACATTAATAATAGACCAGTGTCCACCATTGGTAACATTAATTAAATACCAGTGTCCATCATTGGTAACATTAATTAGAGACCAGTGTCCTTCATTGGTAACATTAATTATAGACCAGTGTCCACCATTAGTAACATTAATAATAGACAAGTGTCCACCATTGGTAACATTAATTATATACCAGTGTCCATCATTGGTAACATTAATTACAGACCAGTGTCCTTCATTGGTAACATTAATTATAGACCAGTGTCCACCATTAGTAACATTAATAATAGACAAGTGTCCACCATTGGTAACATTAATTATATACCTGTGTCAACAATTAGTAACATTAATTATATACCTGTGTCCACCACTGGTAACATTATTTATATACCAGTGTCCACAATTAGTAACATTGATTATATACCAATGTCCACCATTGGTAACATTAATTATATCAATGTGTTAAACATTAGTAACATTATTTATATACCAGAGTCCATCATTAGTAACATTAATTATAAACCAGTGTCCACCATTGGTAACACTAATTATATACCAGTGTCCATCATTGGTAACATTAATTATAGACCAGTGTCCACCATTAGTAACATTAATTATATACCTGTGTCCACCATTAATAACATTAATTATATACCAGTGTCCACCATCGGTAACATTATTTATATACCAGTTTCCACAATTAGTAACATTATCTATATATCTGTGTCCACCACTGGTAACATTAATTATATACCTGTGTCATCATTGGTAACATTAATTATATACCATTCCACCAATAACATTAATTATATACCAGTGTTCACCATTGGTAACATTAATTATATACCTGTGTCAACCATCAGTAACATTAATTATACACCTGTGTCCAGGATAAGTAACATAAATTATATACCTGTGTCAACCATCAGTAACATTAATTATACACCTGTGTCCACCATCGGTAACATTAATTATATACCTGTGTCAACAATTAGTAACATTAATTATATACATGTGTCCACCATCGGTAACATTATTTATATACCAGTGTCCACCATTAATAACATTAATTATATATCTGTGTTCACCATTGGTAACATTAATTATACACCCGTGTCCACCATTAATAACATTAATTATACACCAGTGTCGACCAATGGTAACATTAATTATGTACCTGTGTCCACCACCAGTAACATTAATTATATACATGTGTCCAGGATTAGTGACATTAATTATATACATGTGTCCACCATTTTAACATCAATGATATACAATATACTTTTGTCCGTCAGCAAATTCAGTTAACACAAATGATATCGTTTTTACGCTAGTAATTAAACCGTGTGTATGTTGAAGGTGGAAATAATCAAATATAGGTGCCGCTGTAGATTCGTGCACTAGTCTAATGTTAAAATAACGTTTTCATCATTTTTCGTTATGATAAAATATTTAATGCTACAATAAAGATTAGCATAACTCAACACTTTCTGTTTGTTTTGGTATGATACATAAAACCACTTGTCAACGTTCTCTGTTGTACAATGCATGAAAATGTATTTAATATATATCATACATCGTTTATGATAAATTTGTGTATTTTATGTATATGTCTGTATAATTATCAAACATGCTAATTAGATTGTTTTCCCTATATCCACTTGCTGTAAAGTATGCCAAATCCAGTTGGAAATCGATATCCTAATAGGCAATATTATTACATACATTTCCTTCTGCTGAATGAATATGTGTTATATTATCTGAATGGCTTAACAGCTGTTAGAATAAAATGAACAAGTCATATGGTAAAAACAACACGTCACGTCAACAGCATATATTGAATATGTATGACTTTAGAGATATAAAAGAACCAACAAACATAATATTAGCATTTCAAAGACGACACAACCGCCGTTTATACCACAAATAAAATATATCGCTGTAAACACAATTGAATGAGAAAAATCTTCAGTGATAGGAAACCTGTTTATGTTTCATTGCCGTTCCATTCTTGCTGTGTTTATATGAGCATGGGCTCAGTAGTAATACACTCGTGTCTTGACCTTGTGAAATAGCAGCCGGCAAATACGAGACGAGATGTCCCCCTTGGGTTTGTTGATAAGGTTAACCATTCGTGGATTGTTTCATTGGATCAGTTGAATTATACAAAATCGAGAAGAGCTATCGGATGTCATTATTGGAAATATACTAAATCCACACATGCAGAGTGCACTCCTTTAATGAAGATCAAATTGTTGATACGGTAAATGTGTTTATATCAATGTATCAACTAGCATGTCTCTTAATTGATGGTTGATTATTGCAGCGTGACGTATTTGTTAGTTAAAACTGTATCTTGCATACATCCCTCTTGGGACAGAGAATATTTATGTGTCGATTCGTGTGTCGGCGATCTACTCTTATACAAGCATGGCGTGGAGTGTTACTAAGAGAGCAGAAAACGGTACTACTGTCAGTATAGGAAAAACCAATACTTGGCGAACACCAAGAGAGACTTGTAGCGAAAACCGAGTACCTGCGATTCCGCAGCAGTCACTGGGAAGGGAATGGATCAGCCCAACATCGCAGTGCTCTCTCTGTTGCAAACTCGGCTATACATCTTAGGAATATGGGAAGTGTATGTCGGTAGTAGAACGTATCTTTCTGTTCCACAATGTGGCGTTATATATCACTTTTGAGATTTATCTCTATATTAAGATCTATATTGATATGTTGCATTCTGTATATCACAAACGGAGAAAATTCAATCATGCCGGTTTACAGTTGGTCTATGCTATAAATTGTAGAAGCGACGTTTGTAAAATAGATATATTTGTACATAAAAGGATGTGTTATTAATATGAAAAAATGATAATGTACTGTCCAGAAACCATTGATTTACTTACAGTGGATTTATCAATGAGAGGTGTTCATCACAAGTGACACTGTTACTGGGAATATTCTGTATTTTTTTATCAATTTAAAATGAATCAGTGAGTATATCATTGAATAGGAATTTGAAATACCTTGTGAAAATGTGATTTTGTCAGACATATTGTTTTTTAAATTCTTGTAAATAGGAATTATAAGAACAGACGCAGGGATTACTTTGCTCACGTCGTGTTTTAGCGGGGAATATTACCTGTCTTTAGTTAAATTCACTGTTCCGATTGGATACTCTGTTCTCGCTGGATACTATGCCCGTCATCTGACCTCTATTCTTGATGTGTCCGTTGGATGTTCCTGTCTGGACCGGTGTCCTAGGACGGACTGGATAGTGTCATTTTCCCCACCTACAGTATGAGCTTTCGACACAGGAAGCGCCTTGCTACCTACTTACTGTTGGGACTAGCGCTTGTTCAGTGTGTTAACTGCCTCCCCGAGCTCATTCACATAGGTAAGTGTTCATTCAACCAAATAGAACCTGTTCTAAATGTCTTAAGTATATAATCAGTGTTTTAATTGTTTATAGATTTCTTCTTCATGTCTTCATTACAAGTTAGTGTTATCTAGTCAAACAGGTCGATGGCGCCGTGTAAACACACTCCGGGTCAATCAACCGTGCACTAGGACCAATTTGTATCGGCTATGCGGCTCTGCTTCAGTCCATCAATGGAGACTATAAGTAGGGGAAACACTGTATTCAGAAGAAAGAAAATTTAATATTGTTATCTATTGATTTTGTATAAAATTATCTGATGATCGGTTATTCCTTTACAGTTCATACAAGTGTATATAGTACATTGGTACATACCAAAATAAGCATGTTTTGATCGAGATGTACACAACTTTTTAATAAGGTTCCAAGTCCAACATATATACACACAGATATTTAAAACAAATTTGAAAAACAGATTAAACAGTACAATGGGAATTTTACATACAAACAATTTCTTGAAATATTTCTCATTTATTCACTATATAGCCTGTTGAATGTCATTAAATAATTTATTTTGATAAACTATTCTATTAACATAACCCCTGTCTATTTTAGCCCGATAACGAGAGTGGACTATAGAATATTATATTGTGTCTCCGTACCTCATATTCCTATAGATTTAAACGGTATATTGTCAACACATTTGACGAACTAATCGATTTACTTATTTGGTCTCAACATTTGCTATTCATATAAATTATGTATTCGTTGGATACGGTTGGTTGATCAAATCCTCGTGATTCACAGATCTATAGATCCTTTGAAGTGTAACTTCCTACATTAAATGCACATTCGATAGGATAAAAGTAGGTTTAATAATGAACTCCACGTATATGTGATATTTTCAATATGCGGTAAAATTAATTTTCGTCGTCAAATGATGAACAAATGGAGGAATTTTAATCGAGAAATGTACTTGAAATTTACTTTAGTATACTGATCTACCAAAATTAATAAAATGTTAATTTAGTTTATGAAATAGGCTGTTGGTATTGTATTTGTTATAACAAGAAATGTCCTGTCGGGAATGGACTTCCAATTCATTCAATGAAAATGCCCCCGCTCACATTCCCGCGGATCTCTAATTTTGTAGTTATTTCTGTACCTATCAAGTGCTTTAATGTATATTTACCGAAACGGGGATACCCAGCATTCCTGACAGCTAGTCTCCAATTAACACAACGTATGATATATCTATTATAAGATAGATGAGTTTTTTTCCTGTATCTCATTACCTCCATAGACATAAACTTATACAAACGATACCCTCTGTATGGAAAAAAAATGTCCAACTTTATATTAATATGTGTATGATATAGAAAGAGAGAAAGACAGTGAGGTACATGTGGAGATCATTTCATTCTGCGGCAGTTTTATCACCGTTTTCGCATAGTGTCTTGATAGATATTTCCATTTTATGAAGAAACTGTAATTTTGCCACAGATGTAAAACATTTCTGTAGGTAGTGTAATGTCATATTAATGTTTATCTTTTATCATGGTATGCAAGATATTTACATATTCATTGGTAAAATAGATTTATATATGCATTTAAAACAGGTATGTTTACAAGTATACTTTGAACTGGGTCGTTTTATAAGATATATAAGCAGATCATTATAATCAAATAAAACAATTTGTGTTTATCCAAACAAACAATATCAAAATTTATTTCAAATTATATAATTTTACGATATACGCACACAAAACAATTTAGTGGTAGAGCAAATCGTTCAGGCCTAAAACAAAGGAGTTTAAACGTTTTATTTTTTTCTATTTAGGCAAACGAGGAATCCTAATGCAGATTAGTAAAAGAAGATATATATAATTATATATAAACGCCTTTCACATCACATGTTATCACCGAGAATTATACTACAATATATAATATTTGATTTAAGTCTATAATTATTTTGTTTTTAAACTTTAGTGTCACTATTATATAAATTTATTGCTGACGTTTTGCTATGCAGATAAACATATAAACACACAAGATGTTATTCGTTTTTTAACAAACATCAGTCTGTGTAGGTGTTCATTAACAGCTAAAAGTTAATAAAACATCATGGCAGCGGTAATATACATTAACCACAGTTATAAGATATACATATGGATCTTCAATCTAACTTTATCCAAAAGGCAGAGGATTAATTTCAACGCGGTTGTATGTACACTAATATCTAATATTAATACGAAATTAAGCATCGCACAACTAACGTGCACTCCTAGTGATGGTAGATGTGAGTAAGTACGTGTCCTAGGTTTCCTCTCGACACCACCTCAGGCCCCTGCTCCACTGGGAATGTTATCACGCCGATGCACGGAAATACGATAGATTCCATAGACCAGGCTCGCTGTGAGATGACAAGTTCGTTAAGGGAGAACCCTCGTATTACTAATTCTATTTGCAATTTTTAGGAGAATGGCGTTGATATAATGATTAAAAACGACTTCCTATATCTTCATTCTTAAACAGTTGACGCAATCTTTGTCTATACTGAAAACGGAATTTGTGTGTGAGAAGGGTTTGGAGTAGGTATTACGGAAAAATTCTGTTATACAGACAAACCTATGCTAATGGAGATACATCAGACTTGTCTTACTAATTTACAAAAACCAAACTTCTCACTGCTTCTTAGATAATATCCTTTATCTGTATATAATCACTCAAATGTAGGATTACATCATTCCTATCCTTGCTTTTTGTATTACGTTTGAACCGTGGAAAGTCCTAATTGTAAAGATACTACCAATAAGCATTGTAAATACAGGGACTCATTGGTAATGTTATCCAATACGATTGGAAGATCTTTAGTCTTTAGTTGATATAAATAGTGTCAATTAATGAGAATATTGGATATACTTTATCAAGTGGTTCTCTGTAGAAAAAAATTGTCTGCCAATGTATGAAGTGTGATCAATGTAATTCTTTTCTAGGAAAGGACCATTGCTATAGCACTGATCTAGAAGCGATGGGGCGACGTTTAATTGACACATCGCCTGTATATCTCTTTCGATTATCAGATAGTTTCATGTGATCGTGCATACAGTAACAGCACTGGGTAATCAATGAGCCGGATTAAATTGTTCATCGACCAGTTGGCTGGATATAGGCGTAAGCAATAATTTGTCACAACTTACACCTTACTTTTAAATACATGAACAATTTTGGTAAATGTGAGTCTTTTCAATATTGATAGATCAATCGATCGGATCGTATTTCACTGAGAACAAAGAGTTTTCAGATCGTAAGGATTTCAGAGAGTCATAAATGCTGTATTTGATATCACTGTCTTCAAACCTTATATCATAACATTTGTATATTCATTATATGTTGAACCTGTCTAGCTAGGAACATTATCTTTACATCGCATAGCTTCACAGCATGACGGCAACTTATTAGTTCAGGATTGGGGACGTCATACCGTGCCTTAGGCAAAACAAAATATAACAGAGTATACATTTCTGTCACTGTCTTGGTAAATAGTAAAAATAAAAGTTATATGAAATCATGCTTGTGTATGTGTGAAACTAATGGTAAGTTGCTAGCTGATGTCAGCAAACGTTTTTGTTTATACTACCACAACTGCATCCTTTCATTGAAACTTTTGCATCAACACACAAGAAGGGCATTAAGATGAAACATGGAGGATGTGTTTGTTGTTGATGATTAGTGGAAACAAATCTATTACAATGTGTAATACTTATCTACCCCCACATGTTGCCGACACAACTGTCTTACCATGTACCTACTAAGTAGTTTCACGTGTGGCATGCTTTATACAAAATCTATTTAGCTTCATTTGGACGAGGAAGAACATCGTCAAACAGACCAATTAGGACATACTAATTCATAATATTATGATACTATGTAACAAACCATTATGTACTGCAGATTTTAATCGATGTAGCATGCTAAATAATATACATTTACATAATCGTTATTTCCTTTTTTATTTTCTTGGCAATTATAATTTATTTCATTTATAATTATTCATAATTAAAAAATGGTATACTAATATGCCAACCAAATATCCTTTACACAATTAAGATAATTTATTGCTAGCATTTCAAAGGCTTGCAAACCTACTCGAAGACGTAATGTAAACTATACTGTACACTAGGGTAGGTCTAATGGCCAAAATGAAAAAAACAAACTATTTTCGTAAGCAAGTTTGTCAAAGTAATGAAATTAAAAGACAATTAGGGGTTTGTGAAATGAACCTGAAGATATATAAAAGTTGGGGAAAGCATACCAATGATATTTATTTATTGTTAGGTGATCAACATCACAAGCACGTCTCTGATTTTTGAAATAACTGATCGATCTGTGAACGACTGGTTGAAAGACTGTCAACGCAACCGATTAAAGGCGTTTCGGTTCTCTCTTGCGTGTTTCCGGTGAACGAAAATACACATATTATAATTTATGACAAATGTACAAACAACAAGAATGAATATTTACGAAATCATATCAGTTTTAGGCGATAGACCATTATAGTTATGTCACATATGAGCAAAATTCAATCATAATATACATACAATTTGTTTGATAATACAACTGTTATACTCAAGCTTTAGAATTACATATCACCATAATCAATATCCAATGATGAAAATGAATGAACGGGTATATGATTTTAGTTTTAATAAATCTATAACAATTAATAGTTACTTTGAATGGTTACAATCTATAGAAATGTTTAAAATGTAAAGCATTAACCCGGACCATCAGTAATACGTATATTACAGGGAAGACAGATTATACCTGTAGTAGTGAATGGCAGATAAACTTGCTTTTGTTTTAGAGAAAACTGAAAAAGTACAAGCGTTACCATCTGTATGTCAGTTTAAGGAGAGGAGGGTTTCAAGTGCTTGGAATGTTTCTCCACACATGAAACTAATTGTTGTACCACTGATCATAGCTAATAGTTTACGTACACTGTTGATCCTAAAACA